GTGCCATGCCGTGCTGTATGGTGCTGGCTGAGCCGTGCCATTGACACGTGGTCCTGAGATATGCCACGTCGTGCTGCACACGCCTGTGCTGTGTGGTGCTGGGCTGCGCCATGCTGAGCTGTATCACACGGTGCTGAGCAGTGCCACTGACGTTGTGATGCTCTGCTGTGCTGAGCTGTGCCATGGAGTGCCAGTGCCAATCACTGCCGCTGTCAGTGGAGGAGGTGTGCTACCACAGCTGGCAGGAGACGCTGAGCGACACTGTGCCGTGCTGTACCGTGCCGCGCCGCACCAGTACCGACGTCCGTGTTGTTGTCCCAGGATGAGCTGTGTAACCACAGCTGGCAGTCGGTGCAGGCCCGGCTGCTGGCGCTGCAGCGACGCCAGCCCCTGTGTGTGCCACGCCGGGAGCTGACGGAGCTCGACATCCACCACCGCATCCTGCGCTTCCGCAACTACACCGTGGCCATGGTCAACAAGTCCCTGCTGCCCGTGCGCTTCCACCTGCCGCTGCTCGGCCCCGTGGTCTTCCTCACGCGCGGCCTGCAGTTCAACCTGGAGCTGCTGCTGTTCCGGGGCCCGGCCGCGCTCTTCCAGAACACCTGGAGCCTGCGGCCGCAGGTGAAGCGGGCGGGGGCGCGGCAGGCGCTGGCGCGGGGGCTGGCGCGGGCGGCCGTGCTGCTGGGGATGGCCAACCTGGCGCTGTGCCCCTGCGTGCTGGGCTGGCGCCTGCTCCTCGCCTTCTTCAGCTACGCCGAGGGGCTGAAGCGGGCGCCGGGCAGCCTGGGCGCGCGCCGCTGGTCGCTCTACGCCCGCCACTACCTGCGGCACTTCAACGAGCTGGGCCACGAGCTGCAGGCGCGTCTGAGCCGCGGCCACGCGCCGGCCACCAAGTACATGGACTCGTTCAGCAGCCCGCTGCTGGCCGTGCTGGCCCGGCACGTCGGCTTCTTCGCCGGCTCCGTGCTGGCCGTGCTCATCGTCCTCACCGTGTACGACGAGGACGTGCTGACGGTGCAGCACATCCTGACAGCCATCACGCTGCTGGGGCTGGTGGTCACCGTGGCCAGGTGGGTGCCGGGGCTGGCGATCGTGGTGTGCGTGCCGGGCTCTGTGCCGCTCTGTGCCGTGCCGGGCGGGTGGGTGGGGGAGCTCAGGTGGGACCCCTGCCTGTTGCCACCAGGTCCTTCATCCCTGACGAGCACTCGGTGTGGTGCCCCGAGCAGCTGCTGCAGCGGGTCCTGGCACACGTCCATTACCTGCCCGAGCACTGGCAGGGCCGCGCCGGCCGCGCCGAGACGCGAGCAGAGATGGCACAGCTCTTCCAGTACAAGGCGGTGAGTGCAGCCCCCCTTGCCGTGGGACCCTCCTCCCTGAGGCCCTCCCCCCGGACCCACAGAGTGGGAGCTCCCTTTCCAAGGACCCTCCACCCTGGGATCCCCCATGCCAGGAGACTCATGCCCCAGGACTCCCCATGGCAGGACTCCATGCCTTGGAATCCCTCACCCTGGGACCCCTTAACCTGGGGACCCCCCCAACCGAGGATGCCCCATCTTCAGTACCCCCACCCTGGGACCCACTGCCCTAAGAGCCCTTGCACCTGAGAACCCCCTCCCCAGTGGGTCAGGATTCCCCTCCCGAGACCAACTCCTTGGAACCCCCGCCCTGGACCTCCCACCACAGTATTTCCCACCCCAGAACCCCCTGGCCGGGACCCCCCTAGCCTCCCCTTTCCCCATGCAGGTTTTCATCCTGGAGGAGCTGCTGAGCCCCCTTGTGACCCCCCTGATCCTCATCTTCGCGTTCCCCCCCCGCGCCCTCGACATCGTGGATTTCTTCCGCAACTTCACGGTGGAGGTGGCGGGGGTGGGCGACATCTGCTCCTTCGCGCAGCTGGACGTGCGGCACCACGGCAACCCCCAGGTGCGACCCTGGGGGGGCTCGGGAGGACCCGGGGCGGGGTAGGCCGGGGGTGGGGGGTCCCGGGGCAGAGGGACCCGTGTCAGGGTGTCCCACGTCCCTATCTTTGCGATGGGTGTTTGGGGGCCACTCAGAGGACCCCCGTAGTGGGCGATTGGGGTGAGGGGTCCCGTGTCGGGGTGTCCCACGTCTCTGTCCCCGCAGTGGCTGTCGGGGGGTCACACGGAGGCCCCCCCGGAGCGCCAAGCGGAGCACGGGAAGACGGAGCTGTCGCTGATGCGCTTCGCCCTGAGCAACCCGCGGTGGCGGCCGCCGCCCCCCGCCCGCCGCTTCCTCGGCCACCTGCACGCGCAGGTGACCCGCGACGCGGCCACCGCGCCACCCGCCCGGCCCCTGCTGGCCGAGGGGCCGCTGGCCGCGTCCCTCCTGTCCGAGGACTCGGCCCTGGTGGTGAGTGGGGGCGGTTTGGGAGGGCTGCGGGGTCTTTTGGGGTCCTCCCCTGATGCGTGTCCCCGCAGCCCGAGGGGTTGGTGACCAGTGTCCTGATCGCCAGCGGGCTGGTGGGCCGGGACCCCCGCTTCGGGCAGCCCTGCAGCACGGCCAGCGCCACCGCCAGCCTGCTGGCGTCCCTGAGAACCCCTCTGGGGACCCCCCCGGGCACACCCCTGCCAGGGCAGGGTCGCGGAGCTCCCGACAGCCCCAGAGAGCATCTGAGCCCCGAGGAGAGGTGAGGATGGGGGGGCGTGGGAAGGGGGCTTTGGGGAGGAGTGTGGCACCAGGGAGGGTGTCATGGTGGGGAGGGGGTGTCATGGAGGGGAAGAGTGTTGTGATGAAGAGGGGGCATCACAGGGGGGAGGGGGCTTCAGGAAGGGGGTGTCACGGCAGGGAGGGTGTGTTGTGGTGGGGACAGGGGGTTGTGGCAGAAAGGGCTGTCGTGGTGGCTTAGGGATGTCAGAAGGGGTGTCATGGCAGGGATGGGTGTCACGGCTCAGGGGTGTCATGGTGAAGAGGGGGTGTCGTGGTGGGGGTATCACATCGCCCTCCCCATGTGGTGCCCTCAGGCCGGCGCTGAGCGAGTCGCGGCTGCGCAGCCTGAGTCGCTCGGCCCTGCTGGCTGAGGTGGCCTCGGCCGAGATGAGCCTCCATGCCATCTACCTGCACCAGGTATATCCCCTGGGGTCCTCCGGGGTCCCCCTGCCCACCAGAGTGTCACTGTCCAGCTGCTCTGCCCTCATCCCCGAGGGGTCCCGCCTGGCCCTGGCACCTGTTCCACATCCCTTGTCCTTCATCCCTTGTCCCTGACCTCCACTTCTTGTCCCCAGCCCTGTTCCAGACTGCCCCTCACACAGCCGCTGCCAGACAGGGCACTGGGAATGAGGCCCCTGGCCAGGGTCACACGTGTCCCCCTTCTGCCACCTACCCCTTCAGGGACCAGGGGTATCATGGGCGGGGGGACCCATTTCCTACTGCCCCATGGGGTGGCAGCTTGTCAAAGGGACCCTGAGTGCCGGTATGCCTGGGGGGGAGGTCAGACCACCAGCATGGGGGGCTCTGCTATGGTGGGGGGGCTCGGAACATCAATTCTGGGGGAACTCTGCCCACCAATATGGGGGAGCAGTGCTGTTGTGGGGGGCTCTGGCTGCCTCTGGGGGACTCTGCCCACCGTGCTGGTGTGCTGTCTCTAGGGGGGCTCTGAGCACTAATATGGGGGTCTCTGCTGTGCTGGGGGGCTCTGACCCTTCTTCCTGCCTCCCCAGCTCCACCAGCAGCAGCAGCAGCCGCAGGGCTCTGGCCCCCAGCCCGCAGGGGGGTGGGTGAGCACGGGGGCATCCAAACCCCTCTTCGTGACCACAGGTGAGCACTGGCCACGCAGGGGGTTCCAGGGGGCTGGGGGACATCGCTCAGCCCTCCACCTGCAGGGCTCAGCCCTGAGCCAGGGCCGCGGGGCCATCCCGGAGATTCTGACCCGCCCTGTGCCCCCCAGGCTCAGCTTCCCGGGCCTCACAGCTGCGGGAGATGCCGCTGGGCGGGTGGGCCGAAGAGGAGGAAGAGGAGGAGGAGGAGGAAGAGACGATTACGATGACATAGCCGGACCCAGCTCTGGTGGGTGGGGGCACGGGGCCTGGGAACCCCTGGGGTGGGACACGGTGACCCCCAGGGCTGGGGACATGGGGACTCTCGGGACTGGGACATGGAAAACCCCTGGAGGTGGGACAGAAGGACCCCCCGGGCTGGGGACAGAGACACACAGGATTGGGGCAGAGAGACTCCCAGAGCTGGGGTTCACCAGGGTCTGGCTGCCATGTGTGCCGGGGTCCCCACTCTGGGGTCCCCACTGATGCCCCATTCCCTCCACAGGGCCCTGGTTGTGCCGAGACCCCCCAGAGGTGCCAGGGGAGCTGCTGTGGGCATGGGGTGGCTGCAGTGGGGAGCTTCCTGTGCCCACTGTGCTGCCGGGGGGGCCCTGCCCGTGGGAACCCCCCGCTTGGGGTGTCCCTGGTGTACATGCTGTGGTGTGGGGCTGGGGGTGCTGCCAGGGGCCCCCCCATGTGCTGTGTTTAGGGGAGTGCGCTCCCACGGTGCCCTGGGCACCAACTGAAATAAAGGTTTACAGAGGGGCTGTGCCCCCTGTCTGCTTGGGGGGGTGAGCTGGGTGGAGCTGGGAGGACAATGCCATGGATGGGGTTGTGGCAGTTTGGGGGTGACACTGGGGTGCATGGGCAGGTGGCAAGAGTGCTGCTGGGGTGGGGCCACTCACCTGCAGCTGCACAGGTGTGAGCCACAGGGCCGTGGCCGTGTCCCCCCTCCCACCACTGCTCACCCCTCGCAGCTGTGGGACCTTGGCCATGTCCCCCCACTCCTCGTGGCCAGAGCGTGGCTGTGTCCCCTCAACCCCCCCCGGTTCCCACCCCTCATGTCCCGTGTGTGGCCAGATGACCTCAGAGGTGCCACAGAACCCGTCCCCTCCCCGGTGCCACCGCAGGAGCCGAAGTGCCAGGCCGGAGGTATCAAAACTAAAACCTTTACTGGGGAGTGGCGGGACAGGGGGCGCAGCCGCAGGGCCCCCCGTGTCCCCACGCTCAGGGCGCTGGGCCCGGCGGGCGCCGCTCCTGCAGGGAGAAGGACTGGCTGCGGATGCGCAGGGCCACCTCCTGCGTGCGGAACGTCAGGCCGAAGATGTCCTCGTGGTAGAGGTTCTTGTCCTGTGGGACGGGGGTCAGGGTGGGGCCGGGGTCCCCCGTGGTGTCCCCGTGGTGTCCCCCGTGGTGTCCCCGTGGTGTCCCAGCCCTTACCCTCAGCTCACTGATGACGTCCCCCGCCTGTCCCAGCGTCATGTCTCCTTCCTGGGCGAGGATGTGCTGCACGGTCTGCAGCACCTCGGTGGCCATGGTGACGTCCCCGCACACGTACATGTGGCCCCCGCGCTGGCACAGCACCTGGTGCACCTCAGCTGCCAGCTGTGCCCGCAGCACATCCTGCACGTACGTCTGGGGACACCGCAGGGGCGATGGCACCTGGCACCACCCAACCTGTTCCCAGCTCCCCATCCCCATCCTGACACTTTGTGTGCTGTCTCTGTCCTCGTCTGTGTCCCCAGCCCCCCTCCCTTCATCCCTTTGTGTCCCCATCCTGCCCCTGTCCCCGTGTGTGTCCTTGGCCTCTCTCCTCCATCCCTGGCTTTGTGTCACCCACTGATCCCTGTTCCCTCCATTTCTGTCCCCATCTCATCCCTGTCCTTGGCCCCATCACAACCCCCTCCCCAGCTCCATCCCTGTCCCCATCCTGCCCCTGTCCCCATCCCACCTTGAAGGTCCCAGGCTGGCGGAAGAAGGCCATGAGCACCTTGGCTGAGGGGTCCCTCCATTCTGTCCCCATCCCATCCCTGTCCCCATCCCACCCCTGTCCTGTCACACTTTGGGGGTCCTAGACTGGCAGGAGAAAGCTGTGAGCGCCTGACCATGGATCCCTTCCATTTCTGTCCCCGTCACACCCCCTCCCCAGCTCCATCCTTAGTCCAGTCTGTCCCCGTCCTGTCCCCATGCCATTCCTGTCCCCATCACACCTTGGGGGTGCCCGGCTGACGGGAGAAGGCCGTGAGCACCTGGCTGAGGGCCCCCTGCTCCCGTGCCTGCTCCATCTCCTCGCGATAGATGTGGTCCAGGGCGGACGAGCGGCACCCAAACACCAGCACCATGGGGCCCAGGGACACGCCTGGGGGGACAGTGTCCCTGGGTCCCTGCACACTGTGTCCTCGTGTCCCCATACCCTGCAGCCCTGCTCCCCCCCTGTCCCTCCATCCCCACATCCCCCCAAGCCCATATCCCGGGCCTCCATCCCCTTCCCCATGTCCCCACGTCCCCAACACCATGCTCAGTGTCCCTGTGCCCCTTTGTCCCTCATCCCAGTGCCACCATGACCTTGTGTTCCTGTGCCCCCCCATCCATCTCCCTCCCATCCCCATCTCCCCTGTCCCCCCTGCCCTCACTGTCCCTATCTCCATGTACCCTCTCCCCAGGTCCCCCATCCACCTCTCCCCCACCATGTCCCCCTGTCCGCAGCCCCCCCATGTCCCTGTGTCCTCCCGTTCCCCCTGTCCCCCCCGTCAGCCGGCCCCATCCCTGTCCCCACCCTCGGTGTGCAGGAGGTGCAGCCGGTGCTGCCAGAAGCTCCGGAAAGGCGCGACGCCGGTGCCGGGGCCCACGAGGATGCAGGGGGTGTCGGGGGCGGGTGGCAGCCGGAACGAGGGGGCCCTGCAGGGGTGAGGGTGTCACCGTGGGGGGACCCGGGCCCAGCCCCTGCTCGGGGATGCCGGGAGATGTAGTCGGAGGGGCGGAGCGGGGGCAGGCAGTGACAGGTGGGAGGGGACAGTGAAGGGACAGGCAGGGGAGCAGAAGGCGACAGGGAGAGCAGGCAGGGAGCAGGAGGGGAGGCGGACAGGGGGGACCGTCCCTTACCCCCGGATGAAGGCGGGCACCGTGTCCCCCGGCTGCAGCCGCGCCAGCCACGTGGAGCAGACGCCGTAGTGGAGAGGGCCCTGCCCGTCTGTGGGGACCGGGAGGGTCTGTGGGGGCTGCGGCAGGCGGCACCCCAAAAGGCAATCCCCCAGAGAGCTCCCCCGCAGGGGCTGGGAACACTCCCCTCCCCGGGCAGGGCTGGGGGACGGAGGACCTGAAGATGCTCTACGGACACTGGAGATGGTTTGGGAACCCTGGAGGGGCCCTGAGGCCCTGGAGGTACCCTGGGGATGTCCTGGGGACTGTGGAGATGCTCTGGAGACCTCGGGGTACTCTGAAGATGCTCTGGAGGTGCCCTGAAGACCCTGGAGATGCCCTGGAAGCCCCCCCCGCCCCGTGCCCGTCCCTGTCCCCACTCACTCTCGCTGTGGTAGGTGACGACGGCCACGGTGAGGTGGATCTCGCCCGGGTGGGCGCCGGGCGCGGAGCTGATGGAGTAGTAGCGGGGCTGGAGCAGCGGGAGCTGGGAGAGCAGCAGCGCGGCCGGCAGAGCGACGGACGGGAACTCGGCCAGCACCTCCGGCAACGTCGGGCACCGGAACCACTTCCACTCCTCGTACAGCCGCGCGTCCTGCGGGCATACGGTCGGGACATGGGGACACCGCTGGCACCCCACACCTGGCAGACGGTTGGGACAGCGGGCACCCAGCACCTGGCATCTGTCCGGGACACTCACCCGGCACCCGGGCAAAGGGACCAGCAGTCACCCTGGCAGGGTGGCATCCCGGTATCCCAGCTGGGGATGGGATCAGCATCCCAGTGTCCAGCCATGGACGAGGCCAGCATCCCAGCCTCCTGCCCCTCCAGCTTCTGTCCCCGGGGGTGACGCCCCTCACCTGCGCCAGGTTCTGGAGCCGTTCCCGCTCCGCGGGGTCCCGCGCCAGCGAGCTCAGGAGCTGCAGGAACTGCGGGGTCGGGGGGGCCGCCACGTCCAGGTAGAAGGTGAGAGCCTGGGCCAGGGTGCAGGGGGGCAGCCGCGGCTGCAGCACCCAGCGTGGTCCGGGAGGGGACCCGCCTGTGGGGGGGATGGGCATTGGGGTCCTCAGTCCTGTCCTGTCCCTTCCCCACTTCCCCAACCTCTTCCTCCTGCCCCTCCCCAACCCTTCTCTTTCTTTTTCCTTTTCCTCCTCCCCAGTCCCTGCCTCAGCTCCAGCCCCTTTCTCTTCCCAGTCCTCAGCCCCCTTCCCATTCCCTTCCCCAACCCCTTCCCCAACAATTTCTCCTTTCCTCTTTCCCAATCCCTTCCCTATACCCTTCCTCTTCCTCGTCTCCTTCCCCGACCTTTTCCCCTTTCCCAGCTCCTTC